AACGGGGGGACACGTGGCGGAGGTAGTCGATGCCCACGTAGGACAGCGCTGCGAGGCCGAGGCCGCAGTTGAATTTGGCCATTGTTGATTTCCTTTTTTTTTTCGTCTCAGATTTGAGCTGATGAAGGAAAGAATGAGGCCTTGCATTAGACAAAGGTAAATTTTAGAAAACCCCCTGAAGGTTGAAAGATTCTCGTTAAGCAACCTTAAACTTGAAAGTTAGGCAAAATCCCTAAAGTTTGGGGACTTTACAAAATATCCTGAATTTTTCAAAATAAGCCACACACAAATAGCTTCCCCTGAAAAGTAAACTTCCACTCAAATTGCGAATAAAACTAAGTGTTGGTGAATAAAACTAAGTGTTGAATAAAACTAAGTGTTTGCTATACAATAAACACTAATTGCGTCTGAGAAAAGGGATCATAATTTTCTTTGATTACAAATATATTATTATTTAATATATTTTGCCTTCATATAAAAATTTGGATGCACCTAAAAAAAGTATCTTCCTACCTTTTTAATTTAGACGCTGATCGCTAAAGCTGGTTATGATCAACATTCAAAGTACACTGGATAATTCATTGTTATCAACGCGATACCAATATTTTAAGCAGGGGGGGGGTTAAAATGTCAGTTTAATAATTTGTTTCATTTAATCCACCAAAATTAGACGCACGCCACAGAGGCGATAACGAAAAACTAAACCCGGTCCATGAAACAAACCGCTCGTAATCCAGTTAAAAAATTAGACAAATTTTCAAAACCAACATATTTAGAAACTTAATTATAAAAAACGATCTATTCACAACTTAATTATCAAAATCGATCTAATTTTAGCCAGTTGGCTGAAACTGGACTGATTTTGATACAAAAGTTACGAAACTTCATGGGACTTGAAGTCTCGTGAAGTTCAACAACGCGCTTAAACTTTATGAGACTTGAAGTCCCGTGAAAAGTTTCGTAGATTATTTTGTTAAAATCAACCCACTGGATAGATTTTGCCAATTAAATTCGACATGGGTTGATTTTTGCAATTCATTTTCTAAATTGGCTGGTTTTGAAAATTTGTCGAAAAAAATCCTGTCGATATCTCTCCTCGCTATCGCCAACAAAATCGGGGAGCTTTCTTCAAGGGGGGAAAACCTAGCAAAAAAAATGGCGGCCTGCTCCACCTCATCGGCCGTTTCCTCGTGCGCTCTCGGCCGTCGAATCGCCGGCGATCCCTCACGATGCTCTCCTCGTCGGTTCGATCAGGTCGACGCCGCTCCTGCTCCGTTCTCGCCGCCGTTCCTCGACGTCGGATCACTCCAAAGGTAAAATTGACGTTATTAGCTAGTAAAGGGAAGTTCTTTGATTAATTTGTTCCTCGGTCTGATCCCTACTCTATCAATTTTTGCAGGTTGAAGCTAAAAAGCGAACTTTTTCTTCATTTGATGATTTGCTGGAAAACTGCGATAAGCCAGTCTTGGTTGACTTCTATGCAACTTGGTAAGCAATTAAAGCTGTATGTGTTCGTTATTGTAGTTAATATTTCTTTTGTACATAAGTAGTTCCTTTGTATTCTTCATTTCTTCTAAGGGGCTGTTTGGTTCGTTTTTTAACTCGGTGGAAAAGTTTTACACCGTCTCCACATCAGATTTTTCGTGGCCACGTAGGATATAAATTTTCCGTCGTTTTTTTTTCATTTTTGGTTCGCTAGAGTTGAAGAAGGAAAACTCGGTGAAAATCGCCGTCACATCAGATTTTTCTATCTCCTCCAATTCCTTCCTCAACCTTGTGAAATCGACGAAAACTACAGCCACGTCGGCTTTTTGCCATATAAACAAAAGTTTTTCCTTTTTCAACTTGCCAACCAAACACAAGAAAAAAATAAATACATTGGTTTCCCACCATTTTTTTTGTGCGAACCAAATCGAAATAATCTATTTTTTAGAAAAATTTGGAAAACTCAAAACTTGTGTTTTTGTACATGGAAATGCATTTTCTTGTATCTAGGAAACGAACCAAACAGCCCCTAAATTTAGGACCTCTAAAACTTATATATTTGGAAGCTAGTAGTTTCTACAAATTGAACTGTGTCCAGTTTGCAATATCGTAGTCCTATTCATGATTCTATTACTGGTTGGATAAACATAATTTTGGTCTTTCTATGGGTAAATTGCACTAAACCCGTAGAATTTTCAGTCTATTGTAGTAAACCCTCAATTACTTTCGAAATCGCAACTAAACCCCCAATAACTTTTGTAGAAAACGCGCAAATAATCTTTTGAGTAGATTACAGCGCTAGAATGCCGCCATTTAACTTTCAAAATGAGTTTGTATATTGTTTTTGGCTCAAATTTTATTGGAATTTATTGCAAAATGCTGAAAGTTCTTTAGGGGGGGGGGGGGGGGTTGTGTAATTTACCCCTTCTCCATATTGCGTAGGATTATTGGTCTATCTTGCTTTACTAAGCGGTTGGTCGCACCCATGTCAAAATTTTCTCTCTCTCTTTTCTCCCCTCTTCTATCCTATTTTCTTCACTCTTCTTTTGGCTTGTTATGCTGTTGCATCAGTTCGACATGTATAGGTAACAAGAACGGTCGTAAATTCAATGGAACATTCTCCCTCATGTCATCAACTACCTTGTCCAACCGGTTGATGCCAAGTTACTGTCATGTTCATTGCTTGAAAATGTTCTTTTGATGAATCATAGATTAGTCTATAAAATGTGCCCATGAAGATGGTTAACAATGTTGATTAAGGTTCAGATTAGTACTTAACAGTTCTATAGTGATCTTCATCGTGATTTAGCTTAATTATGAAATAGTCTGTTTATTGATAAATTATCTTTGGAATATTTGCCAACAGGTGGACATTTAGCGTTGAGAAAGATACATACTAGAAAGGATTACTTGATTTACCGAATACATGAAATTGGAAATTGTTTAGCCTCAAATTTATGTAGGTTATGACACTTCAGAATTCCCTTTTGAAGGTTCATATTGCACATGTAGGAGAACATATAATGTGTGATGTGCTTTCATGAGCCATAATTAAATATAGACTATGACATATCTTCAAAACCGTGCAAGTTCAAGCTCATCACTTGTCTTCATGTTATTCTGAAACTCCTACTTTATGATGGACTATCATCTAGTTCCTTAATATCACGATTTGTGCTTTTGCAATTTTCTAGCATTTTGTCCATTTATCTCTTATACATCTAGCTGACTAGCTTACACCCTGAAATATCTGCCAAGTCTTTGCTCTTGTTTTTCTATAACTGAAATGTCGCGATAAGTTATTTCCAGTATTCAACATTCTGAAAGAATGAACTGTGCCGCCTTTTTTCCTGCTTGTTGTAGCTCATCTTTGCAGATATTCTATTTCAACATAAAATTCCTGCTTCCTAATATGTGCTTAATTTCCTCTTAAGTCTGAACTTCTATTTCTGTATAGCAATAGCTTTCTTTAAAACTTTTAATTTCATATTGATGCCGCTTTACCCTTTGGAATTCAAGTATTTTCAAAATTAGTTTTTTTTTTTTGCAATTCCCTCTCATTTTTTAATCCATTTGAGGGTTTCCAGGTGTGGTCCATGCCAATTCATGGTACCAGTACTTGAGCAAGTGAGCGAGAAAATGAAAGACAAAATCCAGGTCGTGAAGATTGATACAGAGAAGTACACACAGATAGCAGACCGCTATCAGATTGCTGCTTTGCCTACATTCATCATTTTCAAGGATGGGAAACCATGTGAACGCTTTGTAAGATAAAAATGCAATCCATTTTTCACACAAGCATTTAGAGTATAGCCCTGAAGTTGATATTTTCTTACTTATGTGATACATGATTGTTGTTACCTTTCAGGAAGGAGCATTTCCGGCTGATCAGCTCATCCAACGCATTGAGAATGCACTGAAGGTCGCTCAGTAATTTGCACACTAGATTTTGACGTACTATAAGGTACTCATAACCACTTTTAATTGATCAATTAAAAGTTGAATGACTTCTTTTATTTAAGGGTGAATTACAGAAAATCCCCTATGGATGTGGCAAATGGCAGCAAACCTGTCAAGTTCTTAAGTGACACCATCCCCCCCCCCCCCCCCCCAACAACCCGGCAAAAAAAAAAAAAACGCAAAAAATAAAATTTAAATTAAATTTAAAAAACCCCAACCCACCCCAAAAAAACAACAAACACACACACACAAAAAAAAAAGGAAAAAGAAAAAGAAAGATTTTTTTTAAAAAAAAATTGTATTTAATCATCTACTTCCAATTTGAGAAGAGCATGTGTGTGTGTGTGTGTGGGGGGGGGGGGGGGGATAATGTGTTTGAGCGGTGTGTATATGTGTTTGACGTAAGTATATATATAGTTAGTTAGTTATACAGGTATCGAGGTAGTTGCCACTTGACTCATGTTCTATTACCGATTTAGTATATTTTACATCCAAATTAGATTTAAAGAAACTGAAATGGAGCAGTAAATCTGTCACCTCTAAAGCCTTAGGTGGAGTTTATGCAATTTACCCTTTATTTAGAGAGATCATATCAAAAGCTATTTCATTTTATGTAATTCACTTCATCTGTTTGCACCAATTAATGGAATGAAATTTGTCCCATCCTGCTCTAATGACTGGTGCTCTGATTGTTGGATAGGTGATTGGCTGGGTGATGAAACGCAAGAGCACAGGATGTCGATTCTTCATCCGAAGCAGGATTTTTGTGACAAAACGCAATACATGCATTTTGCTCTAATTCAATTGTAGATCATTATTAGCTGACAAATACATAGTTCTGCTGAATCAGTACATTCAAGAATAATTAATGTTGTCATCACCGCGACGGTATGATTTATTGTTACGCGACGGGGTCGTAAGTTGCGGATTGGGATCCCCTACTAATAAGGAGGTTACTAATATCTCCTAATGGGATCTTGGCCTTTGATTTATCAATCAAAGGCCAAGATCTCCTCATGAGCAAAATAATATCTCCTAATGGGATCTTGGCCTTTGATTTATCAATCAAAGGCCAAGATCTCCTCATGAGCAAAAGTAAGGGGAGGATAAGGATTCTTGGCCTTTGATTTATCAATCAAAGGCCAAGATCTCCTCATGAGCAAAAGTAAGGGGAGGATAAGGATGAGATTTTGGCATTTGATTGATGAATCAAAGGCTAAGATCTATTTATTAGGAGATATTAGGAACACTATTTAGTAGTAGAGGATCCCAATCCGTAAGTTGTAGCTGTGCTCTCTTTTCCTACCCATGCTTTAAAATCAGTAGCTAGGCAAGAGTTAAAAAGTTTCAGCTGCTTGTTGCGGAATAAAAGGAGGAAACGTTACTGTCTGATTACGATACTAATCAATATTGATGATGCTTAGTATTTGAAAACGTGTTTAAATATTGCACATTTCATCATTAATAAACATTAAAAAAATAAATATGATGCATTATTAGATAGGCTGTTTAAATTCATCACAACTTCTAGGAGCCTGAGGACAGCTTGGCGTTCAGAGGGTATATGATTTAAGTCAAATATTGTGCATGTTGCTTGGAACGTAGGTCCAGTTTTTTCTTCACAAAGAGGTCTTCCCCCCCTAGAAACCATCTTAAATAATTATACGGAAATCACATCTTAATTTCTGTTTATACATAAACACTACGCAAAATGAATTTTTGTTGCAATTAACCATCTCCTGCCAACTTTTTTTAACTAAAAATCCTAAAATTACCCTTAAAAGCTCACGTTCAAGGCACTTGACTAAGTGTTTTATGATTAAGTCTTGTTAGAATACAACTTAGGTACTTTGAACCTGAACTTGTATCTTTTTAAGCTTATTTTATTTTTTTTTAGTGAAAACTTGATCGGAAGGTGGTTAATTGCAACAAAAATCTACTCTACAGATAATTCATGTATAATTTGAAATTGAAAGGTGATTTCCTTATAATTATACTATTATAATTATACTATTTTAAAGATGGTTTCTAGAAAAAAAAAACTTACAAAAGTGGGGCTAAATAGCACTTATATATATACCCTATTTTTTTGTCTACTTCCACTTACTTACCCCACTTGTATTTGGTAGCAAGAAAAAACCTTAAAATTTTCTTTAGCTTGCACTCATATACCTTCCCTTATTCTTGGTAGCACTTACATACTCTAAAAATTTTAAAATTTGCACTTAAATACCTTAAAGTCTTTAAAAACTTGCACGTAAATACATCAAATTCGCATAACTGTAAATATTTATGATCAAGTTTCAAAAACTCTAGGGTATTAAAGTGCAAGGTGTAAATGTTATACGGTATTTGAGTGCCGCCAAAAAAGTGAGGGTATATAAGTACAAGTTTAAAATTTTTCGGGGTATCTGTTTGCTATAGATACAAGTTAGGGTACTTAATGGTGTGTTTGGGAAGGAAAGGAAAGGTAAACAACGGGAAGGGAAGGGAAGGGAAGAGAATTGTAATTTGTTGTTTGGGAGTTGAGTAAGGTGAATGAAGGTGAAAGGAAGTAAATATATGTAAATTTACATAAATGACTTTATACTAATAACACATCAGTCCTTTTATTTGTTTTGATGAGGTAAGAATGTCATTACACCCCTTTACCCTCCTTTACCCTCCTCTACCGCCCAAATCGGGGGGGAAGAAAACCAAGCAATTTTACCCTCCTTTCCCATTCCTTCCTACTCTCTACCCTCCTTAAAAAAAACTCCCAAACAAGGTGAAAGCCTCATTTCTCTTCCCCTCCCCCTCTCTACCCTCCATCCAAACAGGGCATAAGAGAGAAGTGGGTGAAACAATATCCCAAGGCCTGCTCGATAGATAGAGGCCGAAACCCCCCAAGCTAGAGAAATGGAGATGCGAGCCCGCGACGACACGCCGACGGCCCAAGACCTGATCCCCTCGACCCCCCGCTCCCGCCGCCCTCCACGACCGCCTTCTCTCCTCCCACTGCCTCCTCCTGCTTGCTCCCGATTCCCAAACCACCCCCGCTTTCTCCTGCCCCACGTGCCACTCCTCTCCTACTGCTCCCTCACGTGCCATCCACTCCGACCTCGCCCCTCCACCACTCCTACCGGAGTGCCTCCTCGCATCGCGCCCCTCAACGTGTCACTCCGACGACTCCGCCGACCTCCGCGCCGCACTCCGCCTCCGCCAAACCCTGGCCCGGCCCGCCGCGTCGGATCGCGGGCTGTCGTCGAGAACCTCGAGGCCGGTTCTCGGATCCGGAATCCGATATGGAGTCCGAGGATCCGAGAAGGGGCGGCGGTGATGAGGAGAGCGAGGGAGAGGAGGGGGAGGGGAGGAGGAGAGGAGGTTCTGTGGGCTGTGCTAACGAGACGCCGCTGGAGGTGCAGGTTAGCGAGAGGGGTCGGCGCTGGGGATTGGGGTCTATGGGCCGTGGTTCTCTTGGTTCAATCACAGCTGCTCGCCGAACGCGTGTTATCGGTTCGAAGTTGGTTCGTCGAGGTTGGATTCTTGCGGTTCGGGCTCGTTTAGGGTTTCGCCTGCGAGTAATGGAGAAGCAACCGATTTGGTGAGTCTAATCATACATGTTGAGAATTTTATCATGGATGCACATCATGAAATAGATCATGCATGTTGAAAATTTCAGTTAGTCATGGATGCATATAAAGTAGAAGAAAATTTGACTTTTGTGGGTTTAAAATATGATCATTGTTTGTAAGTAGTTGTTACACTAGCTAGCTACAGAAATCACTTTATTCAAGACTGATAAAAGTTTGATAGCAAGCATAATCTTGTTGCTTGATGGCTGTAATAGTGCCTCTGGCTTGTTGTTTGCGTGGGGTAGCAGGCGCGTGCATGGTTTGTTGTTTGCTTGGTGCATTTGTTGTTTGCTTGGTGCAGTAGCCTCGCACATGGCTTCTTCTTTAACCTTAGGAAAACGGAGGCTGTTGACACTTTTCAACATTTTCGTGTCTGAGTTAGGGCAATTTCAGCTCAAAAAGTTCTCAAATTTGGCTAAGCTCTCCACTGCAGACACTAGGGCCTCCACCTTGTGTTGCGGCACGACGTTGTCTTTAGTTTGAGAAACAATGTTGCACTAGGCGTGCTAGTTCTTTTCTCTCGTTTTTGTAGAGAGACATGATGATCTTCTAGATAAGACTACCAAAGCGAAGGGCCACTTAATTTTTTTTGTTTAGTAGGATCTTGTTGGTGTGCTGATGGACTGAAGCTTGCTTTCCATTGATGATACAAGCATAGAGGGTTAGTTATGGTGGTGTGAAACTTGTCATCGAGGGCTAGAGTTGACAGCCTTGAGTTGAAGGAACTAAGTTGTTATTTTTCTCAAGGGTGATCAGATCCCTTTTAAGAGAAATATAATAAGATCTCTCGCATGAAGGAGAAAGTAGAGTCTATGAGCGATTCGAAACCCTTGAGACTATAATATCTATCTTTTCAAGGAGATAGTGGGTTTTCCAAGGGAGATGATGAATCTCACCGAGGAGTAAAATCGGTCTCACTAAGGAGATAGTAAAGGCGTAAGCGGAGCTCTAATCTCAGCAGCTAAGGAGGCAAAGAAATCACTCCAAAAGCCTGCCAAGAACTCGAAGAGAGGTGAAAATTTGCAAATCCTGAGCCTTGAAAATCGAGCCAAAGTGGAGCAAAATTGGAGCCAAGTGAAGCATTTTTCTTGTTGACAAAGGTGCTCTATTTATAGCGGGTAGGATCTGCCTTGCACGAGGGTAATTCTGATGCAACTGTAGCTGTTTCTGCCATTTCTGCAGTGTACATTGTACTAATCATCAGTTTGTATAGTACTTTAACAGGCACTACAATTCGCGCAGGGCAATATATCAGCATATTAGCCCCGCACGTTTGGAATTGTTGGGGCCACATTAGCTCCATGCACTTCAGTTGTGCGCACACAACACCAAATCTAACAGTTGTTAGAATTTTGTCTTTTTTTGCTGGCCCATGATCTTCTGCTGCAGCTGTTTTGTAGGGTAGTGGTCGTCAGAAGATCGTTCATTTTATAGTGGAATGGGCACGCTATGTGGAATAGTACACTACTTAGCATTATCCCCTTGCATTGGGCTGAGGCTATAGCCCCTGGCATGAGGCTATAGCTCTGCTTACTGAAGCGAGGGCATATCCTTGCGCAATGGAGTGAGGCCATAACCCTCACGTACTAGCGCGAGGTTAGCGCAACTTGCCTCAATTTACACAAGTTGACTACTTGAGCGGATTTTGAGGTTGATTCTCATTCCATCTCGACTTAGGACTTTTGTAAATTGTCATTAGTCAATTAGGGACTCATGATTCTTGATGAGTTGGGTTAGTTAAATGACCATTTTGCACTTGGTAGGCCCCATATTACTATTGAGTTGCCTAATGGACGATCTAATATTTTTGACTGTCTACACACATACATTTGTTTAAAACAAACCAAAATCAACAAAAATGGTGGGTTATAGCTTGTGAAAATTACAAAGTTTGATGTACACATAATAAATTTACATTCGTTCAAAATGAACGAAAGTTAATGAAAAAATTAGTTATAGCTCATGAATATCGCAAATTTTGATGTACACATAATTTATTTACAATCGTTCAAAACGAATCAAAATTGTGAAAATTTGTTGGTCCATGAAAATCATGAATTTTGGTGTACACAATAAATTTACTATTGTTTAAAATGAACCAAAATTGATAAAAATCGGGTTATAGCTTATGAAAATAACGACTTTTCATGTACACGTAATTTATTTACATTTGTTCAAAATGAACCAAACTGTCAAAAATCGTGGGGTATAGCCGATGAAAATTGTGAATTTTAATGTACGCATTAAATTTGCTTTTGTTCAAAACGAGCCAAAATTTATAAAATTTTTGGGCTATAGTTCATGAAAATCGCAACTTTTGGTGTACACAATTTATTTACATTCGTTAAAAGCAAACCAAAATTGACAAAATTCGTGGGTTTTTAGCTTATGAAAATTGCAAATTTTCATGTACATGTAATTTATTTACATTCGTTCAAAACGAACAAATTTTTTAAAAGTCGTGGGTTTTAACTCATAAAAATTACAAATTTTGTATTTTACATAATAAATTTATATTAATCGAAACAAACAAAAATTGACAAAAATTATGGGTTATAGCTCATTAAAATCAAGAATTTTGATGTACACATAATTTATTTACATTGATTAAAAATAAACATAAATGTCTAAAATCGTGAGTTATGATCCATGAAAATCACAAATTTTGATGTGTAAATAATAAATTTACTTTCTTTCAAAGCAAACTAAAATTGACAAAATCTTGGATTATATGTGAATTTAAGTGTGCACACTAAATTTACTTTCGTTCAAAATGAACCAAAGTTGAACAAATTCGTGGGTTTATAGCTCATGATAATCGTGAATTATGTTATGCACATTTTATTTACATTTGTTCAGAATAAACCAAATTTGACAAAATTCGTGAGTTATAGTCCATGAAAGTTGCAAATTTTGATGCACACATATGAAATTTACTTTCATTCAAAATGAATAAAATCGGTAAAATTCGTGGGTTATAGCTCATAAAAATTGCAAATATTGGTGTACATAATTTATTTAAGTTCGTTCTAAATGATCCGAAATTGAAAAAAATATGTGGGTAATAGCTTATAAAAATCGCAAACTTTGTAGTTCACATAATAAGTTTACATTGATTTGAACCTAATAAAATTGATAAAACTTAGGAAGTATAGCTCAATAAATTAAGAATTTTGATGTACACAATTTATTTATATTTGTTGAAAAATGAACAATAAATTTAAAAAAAATCGTAGGATATAGCCTATGGAAATTGCAAATTTTGATGTAACACGATAAATTTACTTATGTTAAAACGAACCAGAATTGACAGAATTCGTTTGTATGGCTCATGAAATCTTAAATTTCAGTTTACACATAATTTATTTACATTTGTTCGAAATAAACTAAATTTCACAGGTTATAGCCCATGAAAATCACATAGTTTGATGTACGCAAATTAAATTCTTTCATTTAAAATAAAAACAAAATTGCTAAAAATCGTGGGTAGCTCATGAAAATTACAAAATTTTTAGTCCACCATAAATTTACATTAATTTGAAATTGATAAAAAATAACAAACATTGAAAGTTATGGCTTATGAAAATTAAGAATTTTGATATACTCATAATCTATCTACATTCATTCAAAATGAACCATAAATTTCAAAAGTTGTGAATTACAGTACAAAAAAGTGACAATTTTGATGTACACAATAAATTTATTTTCATTAAAAAAAATCAAAATTGACAAAATTTGTGGGTTATGAAGATTGCACATTTTAATGCACACATACTAAATTTTCTTTCGTTCAAAATGAACCAAAATTGAAAAAAGTCATGGGTTATAGCTCATGAAAATTGTGAATTTTGGTGTGCACATAATTTATTTTACATTCATTCGAAATAAACTAAAATTGATAAAATCATTGGTTATAGCTTATGAAAATCGTTAATTTTGATTTATAGGGAATTTTGTTTACATACACTCAAAGGAACCCAATTGTCAAAAATTATGGGTTATATAGCTAATGATTATCACAAAATTTGTAGTACACATAATTAATTTATATTAATTCAAAACAAACAAAAGTTGATGAAAAATAAGGGTTATAGCTCATGAAATCAAGAATTTTGATGTACACATTATTTATTTATATTCGTTCAAAATGAACCATAAATGTAAAATCGTAGGTTATAGCTATTGAAAATTAAAAATTTTGATGTACACATAATAAATTTATTTTTGTCAAAATGAACCAAAATTGACAAAAATTCATAGGTTATATAACCCATGAAAATTTTAAATTTTGATGTACACATACTAAATTTGCTTTCCTACAATATGAACCACAATTGACAAAATTCGTGGATTATAGATTTTAAAAATCACAAATTTTTTATGTACACATGATTTATTTACATTCGTTAAAATCAAATAAAAATTGTTAAAAATCATGGGTTATAGCTTACGAAAATTGAATGTTTTGATGTACACATAATTTATTTTTATTCGTTCAAAATAAAATAAATTATCAAAAATCGTGGGTTGTAGCTTATGTAAATCACAAATTTTGTAGTACACATAATGAATCTACATTAATTCAAACGAACAAAAATTGACGAAAATTGGGGGTTATTGCTCATAAAATTCAAGAATTTTTATGTACACAATTTATTTATGTTTGTTCAAAATAAGCCATAAATATAAAAAATTATGGGTTACAATCCATGAAATCGTGATTTTTAATGTACACATGTAAATTACGTTCATTTAAACATTCATTTAAACATAAGTGGGTTACAGCTTATGAAAATCATAAGTTTTGATGTATACATAATTTATAGTTTAAACAAACCGGAATTATTAGAGATCATGGGTTGTAGCTCGGAAAATCGCTAATCTTGTAGTACACATAATAAATTTACATTAATTCAAAGCGAATAAAAATTAACGAAAATTGGGGATTATAGCTCATGAAATTCAAGAA